GTGTTTGTGTGTGTGTGTGTGTGTGTGTGTGTATATGTGTATGTATGTGTGTGTGTGTGTGTGTGTGTGTGTGTATGTGTGTGTGTGTGTATATGTGTATGTATATGTGTATGTATGTGTGTGTGTATATATATATATTTATATATGTGTGTATATGTATATGTGTGTGTGTATATGTGTATGTGTGTGTGTATGTGTGTGTGTATTCCGTACCCACTGTATATATATATATATATGTGTGTATGTGTGTATATGTATATGTGTGTGTATATATATATATTTATATATGTGTGTATGTGTGTATATGTATATGTGTGTGTATATGTGTATGTGTGTGTGTATATGTGTATGTGTGTATGTGTGTATATATGGCCCTTTCCCATCATATATATTGCATAAATCCAGTCCAGTCGGTGGCGGTAATGCACCTATAAGCTGGTTTGCCAACCGCCAATAAACACCAAAGAAGAAGAAGAAGCAGAAATCGATGCAGACCATCTATATTATAGTGTGTGAAGGAGATTTAATGACCTTTTCAATCACAGCGAGATTTATCTTGCTTTTGTGTCTTCTGTTCGTCCTCCTCATCGGACTGTGATGAGCAGATGATTATTACACAGATGGCGGCGGTGAAAGAGGAGCGAGAAGACGCGAGGGCTGCAGAAGCGTTCAGAGGCACACACACAGGTTACACTTTCATCTTCATCAGAATGTCTGCTTCTACACAAGTGAGCGATATTTGTGAAAATGTCATAATTGAAGCCGTGTGTTTTACATGGAGCTGTCTCATTTACTCATTTACTTGCCTCCTACTTTTAATGTTGGAAGAAATCAGATGCATTGCTGGGCAATAACCACTCATTGGTATTCTATAATATTTCCCTAATGACAGTTTTATGACTTATAGATATGTTATACAGAATGAGGCGTTACGTCACGATCTTTTCACTCGCGTTGCATTTCGGGAAGGCGCCGCTATCCGTTCCCATGGTTACTCCTCATTCTGTTTTTTGCAGTGCATGACGTCAACATACCTTATTTACACTGCGTTACCTCCGGCGCCTCGATGCGCTGGAACCTGCTCTAGAACCGCTCTCGCGATACTTTGATGTGATACACCGAGCAGTCTGAACACACCTGCGTCCTGGCCGGACTTGCCATTGGGCTTGAATGGGCTGCAGCCCAGGGGCCCCGCCTTAACCCGTTTACATTTGTTCAGTTATGTGCCAGTCAGACATTATTAGCCGCATTTCAACTGCGCGCACGAGCCAGCCGGGGCTCCCAGCCTCCAACTACACCATCCCAAGCCATACTCAAACAGCAGAAACTGGAATTTATCTTTTTTTTCACATAGAAAAGGGACACCCGTATTAAATCACGTCTGCGCTGCGCCGAACCGCCGATTAATTTGTGATCACATGGAATTAAAACCTTATTCCTTAAAAATAAGGTTTTAATAATTTTAGTAGTAGTAGCCTGTTAGTGAAAGTGACGTGGCCAGGTATGGTGACCCGTACTCGGAGTTAGTGCTCTGCATTTACCCATCCACCGCAGTCCTGGTACTGAAGGTAGAAGAGAGCGATGTACACTCACATTCACGAGACTCGAACCCACAACCTTTGGGTTACGAGTCCAACTCTCTAACCATTAGGCCACAACTTCCTCCATTAGGTTACAATGTCTTCAAGTTAAACCGAACTTTTATTTTGACGGGTTGCCGTGAATACCTTTACATTTCTGTGTGTGTGTGACATGAGGATAGTTTTACTCAGATGCTGATGAAGTGACTCTCAGAGCAGTTCTGGAGATGTTGTTCATGTGTTTATGTCCTCATTAGTGAGAGGCAGAGGTTAATATCACCGCAAGCGTCACGAGCGTTTCAGTACGAGTACTACACAACACCGCGCGTCTGCGCCATTCATTAACACAGAGACACACAGAATTCATATTTAAATATGAATCGTTTTGCGGCTTAATATTTACAAATACTAGAGGGAGTGTGCTCACGTGTGTGTGTGTGTGTGTGAGAGTGTGTGTGTGTGTGTGAGTGTGTGTGTGTGTGTGTGTGTGTGTGTGTGTGTGTGTGAGTGTGTGTGTGTGTGTGTGTGTGTGTGTGTGTGTGTGTGTGTGTGTGTGAGAGAGAGTGTGTGAGAGTGTGCGTGTGTCTGTGTGTGTGCGTGTGAGAGTGTGTGTGAAAGAGTGTGTGTGTGTGTGAGAGAGTTTGTGTGTGTGAGAGAGTGTATGTGTGTGTGTGAGAGAGTGTGTGTGTATGTGAGTGTGTGTGTATGTGTGTGCGTGTGAGAGTGTGTGTGAGAGTGTGCGTGTGTGTGAGAGAGTGTGTGTGTGTGTGTGAGAGTGTGCGTGTGTGTGTGTGAGAGTGTGTGTGAGAGTGTGTGTGTGAGAGAGTGTGAGAGTGTGCGTGTGTGTGTGTGTGCGAGTGTCCGTGTGTGTGTGAGTGAGAGAGAGTGTGCGTGTGTGTGAGTGAG